AGGAATAGCTATAGTTTGTCCTGCTTTGGGGAAAGAAATTATGTTGATGAATGCTTAAAGTATCTTTCAAAACAGTTTTCTATGAATAACTAGAGAAGAATAATCGCTGGTGTGGATAGTCTTAATTTAACTCATATTACAATAATTTCCCCCTTTTTTTTAACTTTTCCTTTTTCTTCCCTTTAGCTGCAGACAATTATTCAGAAAGTTATTACCTACATCTATGACTTTGCTCTGCTTTTTTCAGTGGTAAGTGATATTCTCTTTAATAAAATTTTAAGAAGAACTGTTAGGCAGTTTTTCTGCAAGATAATTTACCTTAACTGGGATATTTAGATTATTTACAAGTTCACAGAATGCAAGGACTTTTTGTCAAGTAGCTAAGTGCAGAAATATTTTGTGAGCTTTCTTCTGCTTACTACTTTAGTACTTATTAATCCAATTCCAGTTTTCTATACTTTTTTTCATTAGGCTGTTAAATTCTCTAAGTTTGTTTGTTACTGTGGCATAAATGACAATCAATGGAAGATGAAATACCATTTATTTGTGTGTGTTAATGTAATTGCTGGTAGCTGTTTCTGTGTTATGATACATACTTAACATACCCTCTCATAGCACTTACACTTGGCACTGAAACAAAGTGGAACTCAGAGAGACTGGAGGCTGTGTATGAGGTATAAACACAGCAGACAGTGTGTGTCAAAGTACAGAAACCATTGGAAGAGTGAAACTCAAGAATGGTGCTGTGCATTTGGGGTCAAGTCTTGTTCACAAATTGCTTGGATAATTCTGAAAAACTTATATTCAGTATATTCTTGAGATGATTCAGAAATTAAGCATTTTAGTGTATTAAACAGCCTAGATCCTTGTTTTTTGAAGGAAATTTGAATGTCTTAGACCTTTTAACTTTCTCTGGATAGATGTGAAATTGTTGATGATGTGTGGACTATTTTAATTGTTTATAATATCTTACCTATTTTTCTCCATGGATCTCTGAATTTGTCATGATTTTCAGCTGTTTGAAGCTTATGATTGCTTTTAAAAATAAAGTGCAACATTTGATTCAAACAGTCCTGTATTTTGTGTTCCCTTCTAGATCTCTGCAATCTGTAAATGTGTGTTCTTTGTAACATGCCTAATTTTACTTCTTTATGTATTTGTACTTTCAGGAGAAATTCTTGCCATTTCTGGATATGTTCCAGAAGGAAAGTGTGAGAGTGGAGGTTTGCAAGTGCATTATGGAATCTTTTATTAAGTGAGTGGAGACTGTTGAAGTGAAATGCACTCTGGAAGCTCTGAGAAACTTACTGAAAGATGGCTAGGCAAGAGGAATCAGTATATGGCTATTTAGTTTGTGAAGGTGTTCCAGGGTATTGGAAAGAAGAAAGAAAATGTGTCAGTTTTGTTAATCTATTGATGGACTGTTTGACTGCTCACAGACAAAGCTGAGTTGAAGTAATTATATTGATGCTGACTTGCTGTGGGTTAAGAGAATAGTTGTTCTCCGAGCTTTTTATTTTTTTTTTGTGTTGCCTTTGTTGGTTTATGAAATTTATTTCACATTCCAGTTGCTATGACAGTACAGAACAGAGTATTGCTACCGTGGAAAATTAACTTAGAAAACAAAAATATATTCAACTGTTCTGAAGGTCAAGCAGTTCTTTTCTTTTCAAGTAATTAACAGGTTTCTTGAAACACTTTTCTCATTTTCACCTTCCCTTCAGGTGTTTATACTCCCTGCTGAGCCCCCCAAGCCTCCTTAGGGCACACAGGGCCACCTCTCTTGGCTTTGCTCATATGAGAGATGCTGAGGCCCCTTAATCACCTTAATGGAGCTGCACTGCACATGTGCCTCTGTACCTAAACCTGACACTGATGCTTCCTGTCTGTCCCTGAGTAGCTGAGAAATGATATTATATCTTGGTAAATCTAGGGTTGTTTTGTTTTGATGTTTTTAGATTGCCTCAATGTATCACATGTCCACCTTACTGTGTCCTTTAAGGAGTCAGAGTCTGTGGCTTGTCAGTGCAGCTGTGTATATTAAGATAATATTTCTTGGCTGGCATTTGTTGGAATTGTACACATATTAACCACGTGATTGTTGGTGTTCTGTGGATCACAAATGAACTTAAAACTTGTGCAGTGTCATACAGTGCTGGTGATTGGAATTATGCATTAAACCAATGTTATTCTACTCATTTTTTCCCGTTCTGACAGAGCAGTATTTTCACCACTATTTCTAAAACTCTTTCTAGGCATCAGCAGGAGTCAACAAAGGATCCTGTTATACTCAATGCTCTCCTGCATATCTGTAAGACGATGCATGATTCTGTGAAGTAAGATGAACTTCTATTAAGAACTCTCATTTATGCAAAGTTGGGCTGCCTGATGTGGTTTCATGTTTCTGAGGCTGTTTGTTTCAAGGTGGATTAAGACATGAATCCAATTAGTGCTGAGGGAAGAGCTGTGCAGTGAAGTGGCAGCACGTACCATTTGCTCTTTAATTACTGCTGTATTTTGAATACTGAAGCAGAATTTTAAAAGGGAAGTAGCAGTGGTTTTGTAGTTTTCCAGTGAAGCAGAGACACTTTACAATCCAATCTTCAAAACACTTTGAGAATGAAACCAATGTAATCTTTGAGTTATAATGAATAATATTTCTATTTCTGAGATTCAAGTGAATATGTAGCTACTGAAGCACAGATTGCCATCAGATTTGTGGGTCACTGTTTTCAGCCATTACAAAGGGGAGTGAAATCTTTAAAAGGTTACCTGGAAGATCTCTAGGAACTTCAATAGAGGACGCTAGAACTGAGAAACTGTTGAACCATCTGTATCTTTCCCCTAATTCCTCCTCTTCTATTTTGCCCTTGACTTTGAGAGCTGAGGTTGTTTGGGATCCCCTGTGCTCTGTTGTACCCTCACTGTTTCAGTAGCAGTTGTGCAGTGGGGAAAGCATTGTGGTTTGTAGGTAACTTGCAAAAATCACACCGAAATCTGTGTCTGATTGAAAACCCAGCCAGGATCACAATGCTGCAAATTCTAACTCTCAAGAGGACAAACCTTTTTTTTCTTCTGGTTTGGGTTGAATTGTAAGGGCACAGTCTCTTTTGTCACTTTGATAGCCCAGAGCCTCTTAGTATGGCAGATGCTGCAAAGGAAATTAAAACTTTCTCATCCTTGATAGACCATGGATTCAAGATTTATTGAATAAAGAGGTCAGATTTAAAATATAATTTCAATTTATACCAGCTAGAGTGCTTTATTTTGGGTTAGAGTATCTTATTTGGCTGTATGTTGCACTAAACACCACTTCAGCCTTTAAATAGAACAATATATTGTACCTAAACGAGCTTATTAAAAAAAACCAGAGCAGTTTATAGCAATCCATATTTGGTGCTTCCTCTGTTGCTTTACCAAAACAATTTGATAGTTTACTGGGACCTTTAAAATCCCTTAAACCAGCAGTTCCTTGAGCTAAGATGGATGTACATCTCTTATTAAATCACCCTAAATCCCAGTTATTTTTAAGCAATTCCTGTGTGTGTTTTTCCATTGTGATTCAGGAAACTCCCAGCTCATTGTGTGGGGCTCGCTGACCCCTGTAACAGCTGCTGGAGAATAACAGCCTGAAGACTGGTAGGGGTCTGATTCACAACTGAACTGCAAACCTATTAGTGACCTGGAGATCTCATTACAGGCCTTCTGAGCCTTTCAGAGCCCATCAGTTGACTCTTTTGATTGGCAATGCACTAATGAGCTAATCATGCTGAGGTTTGCTTTCCTCCCTTACTGAATTTGTATAGTAAAACTATTGTTCTCTTCCCATCTGGTGTCTGTGTTGGAAATTGGTAACTGATATACTAAAGGTCAAAGCTGGAGCCAAGCATATAATAGTAAAGGGATTAAATTGTATTAGTTAATTGTAATTTAGCTTTTTCTTCATCCCTCTTCAGTGAAACAGGTTTGATTGACTGGATTTTTATGTGATGTAAATTTGTTTCAAATTAGATTTTGGACTCTTGGTGTAGAATAGGTATCTGTGGTAGTTTTGAAAATAAACTCCTTTTTACGTATCAGTTTAGTTCAGTTCTTACTAAAACATGAAGAAAAGCAGCACTGTAGCAAGGTGAAATTAATTATTTTTTAAATTCAGAGGCAAGGTTATTTAAAACAAAAAACCTTAAACAAAACAAACCCCAAACTAAACAATAAACTAATGCTATACAGTGCATAATATTTAAAAGGTATTTCAAAAGTTTTACTCCTTAAATAGGATAACTTTCTTTGAAGAATAGATGTACTAATTTCTTTAGGTTTTTATACTTAGTTCTTACTCAAGTTCTAATGTTGTAACACAAGACTGAAGCCATTTGTTTGTCACAATAAAAAACGTTAGTGTAGCTTCCTTCTCCTCTTGCCAAAGTCTGAGTTTCTGAGAATCTAAAGACACTCAGCAATTTTTCCTTTTTTGAAAAATCTCAAATTTAGTTTGGTTTGTGGCTGACTTGGTGATATTCACATTAAAATTAGTTTTATACAGAAAAATTTATAAAATATTATGTATCATTTGAACCATTATAGATGAATAGGATAATCTAAATTCAATATTCTAAAATTCACCAAATAATTTTTTTTCTAGTGCACTAACACTTGAAGATGAGAAAAGAACATTAGCAGCTCTGATAAATGGATTCATAAAAATGGTGAGTGCCAGTTGTGTGCAACTGTTGTGTGCACCTTAGAGCTCCTATTTTTGTGACATCCCTGAGGAACAGGTGCCTGTGTGGCTGAATCAGAGCCCAGTCTCTGACTTGCTTAAGACCATTGAAAACCACAGTGCATTTCAGTGAAATAAGTGTGTCTGTGTTTAAAGGAATGTCACACAGTGATGAAGTTGATATGGTGCAAGATGAAAGTTTACAGTATACATGTTGTTTATTTAATTGTATTTTCTGCCAGTTTTGTAAATCTCCTGTAAAACAGAGCATGTATTTAAAAAGTTAAACAGCAAGTGAAGCATCAGAGGGGTCACTGGTTTATGTGAAGGAAGTTCCCTACTTAGCTCTAAATGGAACCAATACCAGCTTTCAAAAATACAAAATAAGTGTAATTTTTTTGTTATTCTATCTCTGTTTATCTTGATTTAGAAATAAGATTTATTTCATTAAATTAGTAGTCCCAGGAGAAACCCAAGTGTATTGTCTTGAAATTAGTTTTTAACCCATCCCTCACTCTTATTCCAATAAATCTTTTGTTGATCTCTGTTGGTTTTGAGATTTCTCAAGCTTTTTGTATTCTCTAACTGTGTACTCTCAATCTCTGTTTTTTCTTTCACACAGAGCTGACAGGCTCTGTGTCTACTTGTCCTCTTTGTTCTTTGTTACAGTTCTGTGGATTTCTCTAGATGGTTGGTTTTTTTTCAGCTATAATCATTTGCTAATTAATGTTCTAATATAGTTTTGCTTTATTAAGCTTTACATACAGTATAATATAGTATCATTTCCTTTAGGAAGATTTCTTGCATTGAAGAAAATATGATGTGTCCTGATAGTCCTGGTTTAGGGGGGAAAAAAATCCCATAGCAGCAGAATGACTAGCTATGAATTTAAACCAACATAAATTAAGATGTGGAGGGAAAAGCAATTGTTACAGTCATCCTTACAGACAGTCTTTTTTGGTGGAAAAATTTATATTTTTGGGTAGGTTTTCTCAAGACTAGAACTCAAGAATCAGCAGTTATACAAATAGAGGAAAAGCAAAGACAGTTGTCTGTAATGTGAGGAGCAATCCTTTGTTTTCTGATGCAGTTTCTTTGATCTTTTACTGCATGGATTAAATGTAAATTTTATTCTAATTTTGCAAAAAATCCTTTTGCATGTGACTTGAGAAATGATAAATAATGCAACCTTTACTTCTAATAGAAAAAAAAAAAGCAATAGAATACATAAATGTAGACTGCCTGGAGACTGTTCCTCATGCTCTGCTTTTAATTGACAGCTGAGACACTCCAGCTGACAGCACTTGGGATTTTTTTAAATCTACAGGGTTGGAAGAGGGTTATGCTCACACAAAGGTTGTTTTTTGACTTCTTTCCTGCACGAATGAAAGGCTTTTGCCATAATATATAAGAATGTATTTATTAACCAAACTCAAGGAAAACCTGCTTTTCTTACTGGTTTATCTAATTAGGAAGAATGCTATCTTCTGTTGGAGACCCTTTATCAACTAGAAATTAGAGAAATCTGAATACAGATTCACAGATCTATTTCCATTTTTCTGGGGTTTTTTGTCTTGCTAAGTATGATCAAAACCAAGCCTTTGTCTCTCCCATAAAGAATCAAGAGTTCTGCCAGTTTTGAAAACACTTCATAAACCTAGGATTTTAAATTTTGTTTTCATGAAAAATACTTGATCTGTAAAGTAGACCATCATTTGGAGTATAGATAAAAAATAACCCAAAAAACCAAACCAGTAAAATTTTCATGTTTCCCTGAAGCTCTAGCATTGCAGACAGTTAAAAGAACAGAGATTCTGTGACTGCTGCTTGTTGTCACTGCTGGGTTTTCTCCTTAGCAATATATGGGGGTTTTGACTTTTGAATATCTGTGGTTTATCTGCATACAGTTTTACATATATTTAAGGCCTACAGTGGTAAAATCTAGGGGCCTTTTTTCTTTTATAGGTTTCATTTGGCCGTGACTTTGAACAGCAGCTGAGTTTCTATGTTGAAGCCAGATCAATGTTCTGCAATCTGGAGCCTGTTCTAGTTCAGCTGATTCATGTAAGCCACAGTTTATCTACATTTCCTTAATAAATGGGGATATATTTGCATTCTCCCATTCCCTGCTCAGATTATTATTGGTCTATGGCAAAATAAGTCTGAAGTGTTTTAATCAGGTATTTCTGAAGTGAACTTTGATCTCATCTCTGATTTTATCCCCTAAACACTCTGAAGTTCTTGCTTGACAGGCATGCATGGTATCAGTGCAACAAAGAAACGGACTATCTTGCAAGAGATTTCATGTATAATAAAACAAATGGCACCTTTGTACATTCAGAATTTGGGTTGCCTCTTCTATAATCTTTCATGTAGGAAAGATTAGATTGTGTCTGGCTGCAGATCCAGGCAGAGTCCTGCTGTGATTGGGGAGGTTAATCTCTTTTCTGTATTGAGTCACAGGTGAGCATTAGCTGCATCTGATTCCATTGCAACATTATATCTTCCCTTAAATACTTTTGTTTTTTTGATTTATGTTTTTTTAATCTGTGTTAGCTAGAAATGATGATTGTTATGCTAGCAAAGGAGGTGACAGCACTATAGCTGAGAAGGAAAGGATAAGCTAAAGGCTTGATTAAAACAAGTCTACTATCACAAATTGAGTCATATTTGCTTTAAGGAACAGTCACTAAAATTCTCCCAGTAAAAGGTAAATAGCACAGTGGGGACACACTGTATCAGGATTCCTTTGGACACTGGATGTTGTGTAAATGCATGCAGTAAAACATGCAGGTTGTTATTTGCCACTGAGGATGTGAATTTTTCTTAATGATTTGCTTTTGTTTTGTGTGTGTAGTCTGTGAACCAACTAGCAATGGAAACCAGAAGGGTGATGAAAGGAAATCATTCCAGAAAGACTGCTGCATTTGTCAGGGTAGGTTGGACTAATAAATTCCGAGCCTGCTTTATTTGCAGATAATACTGTCTGGTGCTACCTAAGTTTATAATTTTTGCAAAACCAGTGTGCTAGTATTTTTTGACACTGTTTGTAGTCACATTTTCTCTTGTTACAAGCAGTCTTTGCTCTCTAAAGGCAAATGTTGCTGTTTAAGGAAAAAAAGACACAAACCATCTCATAGCAGCTTTGTGTTGAAAAAGAGCAGCAAGATTGACTCCCCCTCCAAAGGAAGGTTTATCAGAGAGGTGTTTGTGTGAATTCTGGAAAGCTCAGCTTTTCAAATTATATTTGAAATAAAATACCAAATTCCTTTGTATCTCAGACACAGAGAATGGGAGATGGGATATAAAATATATTCAGACTTCTGTCTCATAATATCACTGTTGGTATGCTGAAATCAGAATTTGAATTTTAAATAAGGTCCTCTTTCAGCTTTAGTGCCTCTGAGTGTATATAGAAATGGTCAAATGTGCTCTGAACTGTGCACAGGCCATCACAGGATATCCAGGTTGCTTGTGTTCCCTTCTTCTTACCTGAAATGTGGCAAGCAAGATGTGTCCATCTATCTGCATAAGGGAAGCTATTTGTGTGTGCAGTGGACTCCAGTCCATGGCACCTGCGTGGTGCCCTGGGCAGAGGCTGGCTGGGCTGGCACTGGGCAGCTTCTCTCTGCTCCTTGCTCCAGCCAGAGCTTTGGGCTGTGCCCACAGGTCTGCAGCTGCAGCACCTCCCAGTGCACACACAGCATCTGCTCACACCACTTGGGCCAGTGGTTTCTCCCTGAGGACACTAATCTGCTTTCCTAGTTAGCTTTTGGTCCTGCAAGGTGGTTTCCTGAGGAGAGAGGAGCTCTTTGAGCTACAGTCACAGAGAGTCATATTTAATAATAACAATTTAAAAAAATACATAATTATTGAAATACTCATTAGAAATTTAAAATAGCTGATTTTGGGCTTCACATAAGGTTTGCTTTCTATTGAAAATATTTCCCAAAACTGACATACAGATTTTGATTCCTAATTGTGTATCAAATCAGTAAAGATTGTTATAACTCTGAGAAAGGAATTTTATTCAATTTTTTAAAAATTTACTTTAGGCTTGTGTTGCCTTCTGCTTCATTACAATTCCATCTCTGAGCAGTATCTTCACACGTCTTAATCTGTATCTGCACTCTGGACAGGTTGCTCTGGCAAATCAGTGCCTTTCACAAGGTAAGGCATGAATTTATCTACTTAAAGGCTCTCTTATTTCAGAAATATTTCTAACTATGAATAATAACGTGGTTGATATCCTAAGTCATATGTATATTTATGATGGAATTAAAATACAGCTCTGTTTCAAGCACTGTTAAAGCAAAACTGTGCCATATTAAAGCAGCTCTTCAATGGGATTTTAAGAGCCAAGACAGCTGACTGTGGTTGACATAGTCCTGGCCATGAGGTAGGTTGTCCTAAATTATGGGAAGCATGGAAAGTTTTTCTCCTGTCTAATTATGCAAGCTCACTAATCACAAATTTTGTGCTGTATTATAATTGAAAAAAGAAATGAAAGCATCTGTTTAGTAGTTCACAGACTGACTAAATTCACCAATGAGCTGGAAAAGAATTCCAGGTTGGGTCAGTGACAGCAGAAACTTGCTGTCAGAGCACCTGCATGATAATTGCTTAGCCAAGAAAATGTGCCACTATATCAGAGTGAAACAATGGTGTAATATCAGTTCATATGAGGACTGAAAAATATATTTTCTTTTTTTGGATCTGAATTATTGATTGAAATATGCCTGAGCACATTTTCAGCCATCCTGTTAGTTCAGTGTTAAGTAATAGGAGATTGTGACAAAAGTGATTTTGGGGAAAAAATGGGAGCTATTCTGGCATCAGAATGCACATTAAATCTGTATCACCATTTAATATGATCTCATTCATGTTCCATCAACAAATGTAAGTCAGTTATCTATTCCAAAAATCTTCATATAGTTTTAACTGTTTATAATAGTTTTCTTTTCTGTTTGTAATATTTTTCTTATCCTTTTTAAAGTGATGTCATCCTTTGTTTTGCAATTTCAATCCTGACTTTAAATGTCTGCTCTCAAATAGTAAATGCTTTTCCTTTACATGTTTCCAGTGGAGCTGTGAGAGTAATAAATTGGATTACTTTGCAATGTCTTTTGTTGTGGCTATTAATTCTTTGTGTTAGCTCTGTGCTTCTTCACGAGAGCTTGTTTTCCAAGCTCTGCATTTACCAGCAAGTTCCAGCTGCACAAACAAGCTGACTTAGGATGCTGATTAAGACTTTTTAGTGCACAGTGACTGTTGTATTTCTTTGTTTTGAATCTGATGTTGCCCATACAGCAAAGCAGAGGGATTTAGTGTAAAGCTGACTGTTGTGTCCAAGTTTGTTGTGCAAATAAAAGATCTGCAAAGTCTGTTGTTGTGCAGTTAGCACTGTGCAGTCTCTTTCAGGGTTTACATAAAATGGATTCACTTTTTTCTCCCTATGGTGTTTTGTTTAATTGACCAGCTTACCTTATTCTCTATGTCAATTTTCATTATTGTTTCTATGCTGTAGAGCTTCCCTTATTGGAAGCAAATCCAAAGCAGTTTTTCTTTAATATTTGGTCTTCGAGAATTACTCCCTGACCATGTTGGGACCCCTTCTGTAATTTAATATCTTTCAACTTTTTTTGAATTTTCTGCTTTTCCACTATTTTTGTAATCCAGTTCTTCTCTGAGTGAGACATCTGGGCCCCAACAATTGTCCAGATTTTTCAGTGTGAGGGTTTACAAATGTGCACAGCTGTTGTTTGACAAATGAGTAGTTCACTCACTAAGAAATTAACAGGATCCTGTCCTGAAATCTTTTAAGGTAGCAGAGATATGCAAAGTATTATGAACTCAGTCTCTAAAATGGGTGTTTATTAGCCACACTCTTCTGAATTTTAGACCCACAAGCTAGAGAGAGGAACATTTGGTTCATCTATGCTTTTGTTAAAATGAAGCAAGAGCAAAACTGATGTTCAGTAACTCACTTCATTTACCAAGGTTTTATAGTTATTCACTTTTTGCTCCCCTAGCAAAGCTATTCTGGGTATAATTTGTACTCAGAGACATGTCACTTGCATGAGTAGTTTAGCATGTGTTAAACACTGTCTTGGGACATTTTTTGTGAACTGTCTTTCCATATGTTGATGCACTGAAGTCACATAATGTGTCCTTGAAAGTTACTTTTCACAGAGTTTAATCTGTATTTTAACTGAATGAGTAGGAAGTAAGAAGTAGTGATTAATTTATAACAGCAAATTTCACTCCAGTCAGTTAACTGAGTTAATTGATGCCAATTAGACACTGATCTACTAAAACCCATGCAGCATGAAGATTTAAGAGTGTGCCATTAATGATAGCATTAGGCCAGGAAGGGAAACTGTGCCTTGTCTGTAACTTTTCTTTCATACTGATTTGAATTAGCTTAATTGGTTTAAAATTGTGAAGAGAAATAAAGCTGAAAGGTAATGTACCTGATCCAAAAGTGCAGTCAGCAGAGGTGCATGCATGAGTTTTGTGCGTGCATTTCCTCCTTGAAGGTTCCAGCTGGTGTTTGTAGCAAGGTAAAGTCTTGGATTTTTCTCAATTTTAAGTTTCTGTGGGGAGTCCAGATGTTTCAGTGAGATGACTTTTCACTTAACATAAGAAAATTGAGCTCCACAACTTCTGTTTGCAATAGGAAGATTTCTCTAAATTGCCAATGTATCTATCTTGAAAAAGGAGGATGTGCAGGTCATAACAATAAATGAATTTATGAGTCTGAGGATTGCACTGATAAACTATCAGCAATTGGAGAGCCACAGCTAATCTGCTTATAGCTGGAAAAGTTTGGGGTTTGCCTCATTCCCAATTTCAAGGGGCAGCAGTAGTAACCACCAGTCCTTGTGTCTTGCTGCTCCCATGTCCTCTATCCCAGCCTTGCTTGCTTGGATTTGCCATACTGTTAATCAAATCATGTGTTTGAACTCATCCAAATACTTCAATATTAGAAAATTGTAATTTTTCATTGAATAGATTTTGTTTAAGACAATGAAGTTGGGTCAGAACTGTGAATTTAAGGGCTCGTGAAACTCCAGAGTTAATACACTGATGGATGTCTGCCTGGGAGTGTTCAGAATGTATTAAAAATGACTGTTGCCTCTTTCATCTCCAGATCCCAAGACCTGCTTTAAGTGAAATGAATCTGTAATTATGTTTAAAATGTTTTAGGTGAATTTTCCCTGGATGCACAGTTTGTACCTCTGGAGAGCCTATTAAGAGCCCACCTTTGAAAGGAAGATGCTATATTTTACAGAGATGGGCTTTTCATTTTTCTTAACTGAGCCACTGAGCACTGCATGCTGCCAACAGAGAATAATAAATTCTCATTGGTCATGCTTTCTGTCATGGGGGTGCTTGGACTAAATTGAGATTAAATGCATGCTCCATTGTGTCACTCTTCTGGACTTCTGAGATGTAGATATGATTTTTATTGCACACATTTCCTCTCTGTGGAAATGCTACTTTTGTCTGTCAAAAAAGAGACAGCATGAGTTTTTAATGTTTGATCACAGCATTCAGCAGGTGGGTAGAGATGACATAACTTTCTGGTAATATGTGTTGAGCAGCATTTTTGTTTTAAAATGTGAAATCTTTGCCTCACTTGAGAAATAACCTGCTGAGTGAATAAGGTAATTCAGCTGATTCTGTCTGACTGATTTCACTGGGATATTGTCAAACATTAAACTTTATAAAAATGGACAGCCTGTCCCTCAGATCAACTGCTGCAGACCTTTTTGCTTAGCAAATGCAGATTTTAATTCTGAAGCATACAGTGCTTAATATACTTCTAGGTATTTGTTTTCCAGTTGTGGCTAAATCACAGTTACACCTAGTAGATTGCAAAAATAATTTCTACTGCAGCAAATGTTACTTTTCCATGAGTATTCTCTGAAGTCTTCAGTAACACTCTGGAGAAATTATGGTATGGAATATCTAATAAGTAATTTTAAATCATAGTCTAATAATGGTTTAGAGTATTTTCTCAATACCATTAGATAACAATTTTTAGTATTTCTTCTTAATCTCCCAAATTCTTTATTGATCTGAAGAATATAAACAGAGAATTTGAGGTAAAGAATTTAGAGAAATAGGAACTTGAAGAAATTTTCCTAATTACAGATACTAGGACTTCTTTGCTCATGTTTCTCTGGTGAGAATAGTATATGGTGACTCTGTTATGTTTTTAAATACTGCTTTCCTTGAAGGCAGTAAAAGATTTTTGGGAAAAGAATGATGTCATACTGTTTTCCTTACTAGCAATGCTAAGTGTTATTTCATTTGGACAGAACTGTGACCTCTTCTGTTACCTGGGACTTCCACAACTGGAGACTTCCCCTGAGCTTTTTCTTGTTCCTCTCTTTATCCCAGCCAATCACTTTTCCATATGATATGAGAGAGGTGACATCTCTCTCTGTAAGCTCTTCAGACTAGTACTTTATATCAGTTTGTCAGTTCTTCAAGTCTGTCTAGCCCATGACCTGTTTTTGAAAGTGTCTTGTAGCATCTACTAAGGAAACAATAATGTAGAATGATGTTTCTTGGCTTTCAGGTGCAGGTGATTTAATACATCCTTCAACAAAGCTTGTGTATGGCCCAGACCATGGTATTTAATAAAATAGATGGACCAGTCCTTGGAAATTTAATATTTTTAATCAATTTCTACTTTTTGGCATTTGTAACTTCATGTGATAGGGAGTTCCACAGTTACCTGCTACTTGGAAGTCTAATGTTTAGGGATTCATTTATGTTAGATGTTAGGTGAATGGCTCAGAGCATATGGCTGATCTGCTGGAGCAGAATTCAGTCATTCCTGTTTGGTTTTCTCCTTGCTGGCTATGAGATAATGTAGTTGGTAACTTCCTCAAGAATTTGTTGTCAGTATTGCCTTTTCTAATAAGAAAACAGTTCCATGCCCTAGCATCTTTTTTATCTTTTTGTGCCTTTGGAAATGGGAAGATTAGGACTAGATTAGATTATTCCAGGTATAAATGCCCAACAGCAATATAAATTACACCATGACTCCTCAGTTTTCCATTACTCTCCTAGTGATTGTTGTAATTGCCATGCCTTTTCAACAGCTGTTTAGGATGTAGTTTTCAGGAAACCATCTATAATGACTCCAAAATCTTGCATGAGTGTAAATAACCTATTTAGAGCTTCTCTTTCTATAGCTATAGCAAGGGTTGTCTCTTTCCCCACATGCCATACTAATATTAGAGTTCATCTGCTGCTTTACTGCTCAGAATCATGAGATCCATCTGCGATGCTTTGCAGTCACGTTCCAGACCAGTCTGCAAACATTCTCACCTCCCAGCTCATCCTGAGGACATGTCTCTGCAAAACCTTAAGGAATCCAGTAGTTAAGTTGTTTCACTCTGAAAACTTTTTTATTCCCTTTCCTTTCCCCATCCACTCCATCCTTTATTAAGTTGTGTACCCTCATGAGAACCTTCTTCCTTATTTTCTTTCAGCTTAGTTGTTTAAAGAGTCAGTTCTAGAAGGATAAATATTAAAAGTTTTTTTTAAAATCTAAGTATTTATTAATGGAATTACTTTTAAACGCAATCTCGCTGGTTCTTTGGAAGGCTTGAGTGACTGCTGAGGAGTGATTTCTCTCTACAAAAATCATACAGACCTTCCAGCCTTGTATCATTTTTTTGTATGTCTGCTCATTTGATTTTTTTTTTTTGCCTCATAGTAACAGTAGAAACAATACTATTTTAACTGCAGCATTCATTATTTCAAAATTTTCAGTATTACAAAATACTATCGGTGGAGCTTTCTATAGAGAATGCTGCTGATGTGATACCTCAAGTCTTTTGGGATTACATAGAATTTAGAGAGGCAGGCTGTAATTTGTGGTTGGTTTTTGGGTTGGTTTTTTTTCCTGGGTGGGAGGGGAGGCAGTGGGGTGGGGTGTGTGTTGCATTTACTCATCACACCTTAAGAATAAAATATCTTCTGTCCAGTGTCCTTGCTGATACTGTCTGATGGCCCTGTATGGATCTTCCACTTATGCCTCTTGTGTGCCTTTGTCTCAAAGTACAAATGTCTTGTAATCTTTAATCAAGCTTCACCTAAAACTGGCTCTACAAAGCTTCATCCACGTAATTACCTTTTTATCTGCAGCTAATTCATAGTATGAAGTAGTATGAACTAACACAGTACATTCCAGCTCACCAAGCAGCAGTGCATTAATTTTCTAATTTCTTAGTTTCTGATTTCTAGTTTCTTCCTTCAAAGAATTCTTGGTTGTTTCTGGATTGGAAAAATTTGCAGTAGTTCAAGGGAAAACCACATTTCAACAATATGGCAACACTCTCACAGTGACCAATGTGACAAGAAGGAGATTCAAATGTTTACAACGCTTGGTTGTCAAAACAGTAATGGATTAATTTATTTAACAGAAAAAGTAATGTAACAAAACCCCCACACTTGCTTCCCAATCATTTTTTGCACTGGAGTACAAGCTTCATTAAATCTCCAACATCTGTTGGATGTGGAAGCAAAATCTTCAGAGTATTAAATTGGGTTTGACAGTGTTGTAAGACAGGAAAGTGGTGTGGAATGCAGAAGATGTGCGTGGTCCCTGGTTTTGTCCTTTGGGTGGACTTAGCCTGGTGTAACTGTAGCCGTGACTAAAAATACTTTGGGTAGGTATGTTAAACTCGCTCCCTTTTGCTCTTTGAAGGTGGACTTAAGGAGTTTAATTGTTTTCCCATCTTTGACTTTGTTCCTCCTTATTTTTGTCTGCCTGAAATCTTGAATTCTTACAGTTTGATTGGCTGTCAGAGATACGGGAAATACAGTGCAAGCCCAATTTTTATATAGAGAGAGATTGATGCACAGAAATATATGGAGGTACATATAGTTGTGTGTAGGTATAATTAAACATGTGTACATGTGCCATCATGAATATTGTCAAAAGCAGAACATTCAACACCAATTTCACTTGTTTTTATTTCTGTAGGAGGCTATTTCTGGAAGCTGACTTGGATATCCAAGACTGTTAGTTTTTGTAGCCTGAAGGTCAACCATGTATGCTTGGGGGAAAGATTTATAGGATTATGGTCAAGCAAAATGAAGGAGCTGCTGTGAAAGGATGAATTTAATGAAGCATGAAGTATGTTACGTTGGGAGCACTGCACAAGATACTAACAGCAGTGGGGAAGGCTTCATCATGGTGATTTGTTGTAATGCACAGGCTGCTCTCGCCTTATCCAGTTCAACAGTGGCTCACTTAAGAAGCAGTATTGTACTTTAGGCAGATAAGAAAACAGCATCCTTCATCAGAAGAAGCCTTTTTTATCTTCTTTTTGGTTTTTTAATCAAGAACCTAAGATTGCTGTGGTTTTCAGTGCTTTTTAAGTGGTTCCTTATATCTTTTGGAAGCCAGAAAAAGCGATGTATGGTTTTGTTTTAAAACATCTCTACAGTAATAGTTTTAAAAATTGACTTTTAAAGATACAGAGAAACCATAATTGCATAACCTCATAATTAATGTAATTCAGAATTAAACACTGATGCTTATTTCATACTTGAAAAAACAGCATGGCTGTGACAACCTTTTTAGTGAGCCTTTTCTCCAAACTCAGAGCATCAAATGAGTATAATAACTCTGACACCTCTCTGCCAGTATGGTAATGTTTAGAGGACAGGTCATTTTCTGCAGTCTGTAATAAAAACCTTTGCACTGATATGCATTTATTTTTGCTTCTTATGAAGCACATATACCTTGGAGAAATGTGTTTTTAATGTTCCAGCATAAAACCATTTCATGGTTAGCACAGATTTGCAGAACTAACTGCAAAATGAACACACTCTCCTTTGCCAGTTCTTCTGGATGTATCAAAGTGAAATACAACTGTTTTGTGGTGTTTTGCTTGTTCGGCTTGCCTTGCTGCATTGAGTGGGGCAAGCAGAGTGAGAAAGGCAAGGAACAAGGATTAAAAGTGTGGGGCAAGAGCCTCAGTGTCCTCAGTGCTGGGACGGTGACAGCGTGTGGGGTTTGCAGGGTGGCCCTGTGGCCATGGGGTACAGCTGTATGACTGCCATGGCTGGGGAGGACACAGGGGGAAGCTCAGGGAGTTTGTGGCAGCACAGGCAGGTCCCTGGTGTGGGCAGCACCTGCAGGGGAGCCGGGCACTGCTGTCAGCAGCCCGAGGAACCAGGGAGCTCGTGGCTCTGGAGCTGCTCAGGCAGATGAAGAGGCAACTCTCATTCACAGCAACAGCAGGAGGCAGGGAGAGTAAATGAAATCAAATTTCAGGTTTCCAAATTGAAGATAAGAGGTTTTGGGTTTGCAGTGTGGCAGAAGTTTAGAGGAGAATGTGAAGGATTGTGATTGCTGGGAGAGCAGGCAGTAAATTAGGATGAGCAGCTCTTTTTCACTGTGGATGCTGATTGCTACCTAGGTCATTCTTGTCCTGTTATGAAATAACTTCAGAAGGCAGGAGCATTCCCTGCACAGACATGGGTACTTTGGTATGCAGACTATTCTCTAAGGCACATTTTTTCATTTGTCTGGTCACATGTTTTATTGTATGGTGATGTGGGATGTGCACTTTTATTTTTTTTCTGATGAGACAACTGTGGAAGTGACAGCAATTCATTTACTTGTGCTAGAATGAACATCTGCTGCTGCCTTCCTTCCTCAAATAAACCTCAGAGAAAGATTACTTACCTTCCTTTGGGTTGGCTGTCTAAATTTATAAGTTGGAAATAAACATTCTTTGACCTCAAAACAAATGTGCAGAATAAAAGGAAGGACAATGTTTGATGGAAGGGGTGTTCATTCTAAGCACAACACTTAAAAGTCCAGGAGGGGTTGAGCACTTGTGTGCTGAAGAAACAAGAGTGAGAACTACAGTTTTTCCAAAGCACATGTTTCCCTGGTATTCCTCATAAGCTTAAATTAGATACCAGTTGGTACTATATTTAGCAAATTTGCATGGAGTCTCAAATGAATTTTTCCAGAGCAAGCTGCGCTCCTGGAAATGCCCATGCCTGCCTGTCAGTGGTATCTCCATCCCAGCCATGTAACACCTCTTGGCTTTCACCAAGAATTCTCCTTTTGCCTTTGATAAAACCTGATTACATGGCCTGGGTCTCTGCTCCTGTAAAATAAAGATACGATATTAATTCTGAAGGGTGCTTTGAAGTATATGGCTCAACAACTCGAGTGGGATGTGGATACTTGGAGATTCTGAAATATTGCCAAGAAAGTGCAGAGCAGTGTTGCTGTCAGAAAGTTTTTGTGAACTCAGCATATATGGGAGGTCTTCTACTGAGAGAGGGAAAATATTGTTGCTTTTAATTTGTGAATATTAATAAACTGAGGAATAGATGTTCTATTGTTTGGAATTTATATTTTTGTAAGATTAGAGACATAATAAAGAGTTATGAAAAACCTCTTAATAGCTATTTTCCCAAGGCTGTAATTCTGGAGGGTTTCTCTAATTCCTGTACTGTGATTTTTGGAAAAAGTCCTTTTATTTAGGTAACCAGCAATACCCCAGGTTATGGTACTAGGATTATTTTACTTTTAGTGACTATAAATAATTAGAAAAATGAAGTTGTTGTAGTTCCTTAGAACTTTAACAGCCTTTGTGAATGAACTGGTGAACAAGGTAGCATGAACCTTTTCCCCCCACTGGATTCCCCATTTTCCCATCATAAGCATTTCTTTGATAAGTCAATTTTGAATCATGTGCTAATTTCTTATTATAAATGCATTACATATGAAATGATGGTGTCTCCTTGTTATGCAAAGGAGAAGAGTTATAATTTCAGAAGTCTTGGGTGATGTGGGAACTTCCTTTGGAGAAACACCATTGTTCAAATTAGCCTATTTCTCAAGAATTAGACCACTGCTGAGTCTTGGCTTTCTCTGCAGTTCAGCACATTCATTTTCTGTAATCTATTTGAAACAAATTCAAAGCAGCCATTGGGTCACAGGCATGGCTGCCATCACAGCTGGAGTGATATAACAGCAACTCTATTTTTATTTTGTAGCTGATGCTTTTTTCAAAGCTGCAGTGAGCCTCGTTCCTGAAGTGCCAAAAATGATCAGTGTAGATGGGAAGATGCGACCTTCTGATGCCTTCCTCCTGGAATTCCTTTGTAATTTTTTTTCCACGTTATTAGTTGTTCCGGTAAGTTGAGTGTGTATGAATAGCACATAGGTTTAGTATGGACTATTTTGACTTCCTGTTTAAAAATTTAGAGCAGACTGGGCTTCCTGAGTGGGAGATGCAGGGATTAGTTTTCTGTGAAAAGATAGACTGTTCTGCTCATTGGCTGCAAAATCACTCACCCCAAAGCAAAATGGGGAGGCAGAACAATTGTGTGGAGGTGGAGGTACAGCTTGCCACTCTCAGTGACACCCTCACTAGAAGTGGATTTGGGGTAGAGTGAAATCTCTAATGGTGTGAACATTTACTGGTTTATTAGCAAAGTACTCAAAAAACCCTAATACATGAGGAGGGGAAAAATATAGAGCTCTAGTTCCTGTTAGGTTCAGTTACTTTGGAATAGGTTGCTTAATTATTTGAGTGAAAACAATAATTAGAAGATATGTTTTGACATAACCTTCCTCTTCTGATGAATATTTCACAAAGTACTACTATTCTACACCCTTCCAGTTTTTAACTAACTGCCAAGTTTAGAGAGAGATGTAATTTTCCCTCCAATATTTTTAGCTATATCTAAAAAATGAGGGGAAATTTTAAATTAACCTGAAGGAACAGAAAAAGAAGTTTGAAGTACGTTCACTTGTTCTTGGAGGGAGTTTTTCCTCCTCCCTTATGGTTTTCTCCTTCCTTTTTGCTGTGACTGCCTGTCTGGTGAAGCAGCACACAGGTGACTGAAGAAGGGACTGATACAACCTCTCAGATTCAGTAATGAAAAACATCTTGCAACAAGATGCCAGGATTCAGAAACTAGCTTCCCTAACTTTGTTCCCTATTTACAGAAGATCAAAAGGAGGTGTCTCCAGTGGATTGTGATTTGTCCTGTGTATCTCAGTGCCACTGCTCCAACTGCCAGCTGGAATTAGCCGAGTGCAGTATTAAAGCTGCTTGTAAAAGCCCCCAGCTTATGTAAAGCAGAGTCTTTCTTTTCATTTCATGTGAAAAGATTGTTGATTGTCTGTAACTGACTTCCCAGTGTAGGTGTTCTTCTGAAACTTATAATTATATGAGTAATACACTACAGCTTACTGATACGATTTTAATAACAAAATCTACCCACTGTTTAATTTTAGAGGCTTAGCTGTTAAGAAGCTGACAATTAATTTTGTACTGCTCCCCCATGACTACAAAACAAAGCATTTCAAAGCCTCCTCTGTGGAGGCTTCCTGGATCATGTTCTGATTATGGGTCAAATGGACATTTCAGATGGAAACTAGAAAAAAAAATTAAAGGATTTGCAGGAAGCACACTTAAGAAAAGTAGCTGTCAGCTTTAATTATATTGTAGTTCTGCTTTTATAGAGCTCAAACTGTGACTCTACACCACTGAATGACTGCAAATAATCCTGGTTTTGTTCTAGGGTTGTGGTATTGGTTTTGACCTATCTTTTTTCTTCTGTGTAGGACCATCCAGAACAAGGAGTGTTGTTTCTTGTGCGAGGATTACTAAATGTGATCCAGGATTATACTTGGGAGGATAACAGCGATGACAAAGTCAGGATTTATACTAATGTTTTGCATCTGCTGTCTGCAATGACTCAAGAAGCATTTATCTACCATGTAGATAAAGGTAATACCTAAGGGGGGCTCTGGCTTCTTGCATTCCACCAGGACTTTTGTAGTATTGTCTTATCACCATAGCCAGTTAATGAAGACCAGTGGTAATCAGTCTCAAAGAATGGATTATTTTTCTGTCCAGTTCCAGGTATTGTAATTTAGAATAATCCCAGGAGCTGGCTTCTGAACAGGTGCAGTCTGTTCTTTGCAGTGAATCTGTGCAGAGTGGGTTACTTAGTTTGCTTCTGGTGGTGTTGATGCAAATGCTTATAAATGTGAACTTTTCAAGTAATTATTATGCATATGAAGGGTTTTATTTAAGTCTAAAGTATCAACTTGATTTATATTTATCACTAGTGTTTCATCCACATTTATTAACAACTCCAGTTTTCAGAATGTAAAGCCTAGTCTTCATTATTTAAATGATGTATTTGGTGCTTTGAAGGCAGGCTTTCAGTTTTGGAAATAGCAGTAAATTACAGAAATATTCAGAATAGCTAGAAAATTCTAAAGATTTTATGTTTTGTAGAATAGCTGACATCTTTTTTGTAATAATTTTTGGAAAATTTTGACATGCTCTAAAATTTGAATATTTGCCTTCTGATTATAGATTACTAAATTAAGGTAGAGGAATAAATAAAAATCTTTTAAAGCACCCTGGAAGATTAATGAGTCAGAGAGACCAAGATGGTTTGACTTTCTCTTTCAGTTGCACAGGACTTTAACAGAGGGCCAGGCTGAATGTGCTCTGCAGTTCTTCTGGTGAATAATTTGTCAGATTTACTGCCCATGACAAAATACCTCTTGCAGTTAGCTGCACAGAAAATACCTGTCAGTGGAACTGCTACTCTGTAGTAAATCTGCTGTTCAAATTCTGTAAGGAAGTGTGCTTTAGCTTTTTTTTTCTCTCCATTTTTTATGTGACCAAAATAGCTGCATAATCCCAAGATGAGAAATCTAAATTAATTAGATTTTAATGAAGACAAGCATGGAAATATAAATTAGTAATTTTTCCCCTATAGTAAGACCATAGGGTTTTTTTCTAGGTGGACCATGTACCTTAGCTTCTTAAAATGATGTTTACTTGGGAACATGGCATTATCTTTTATCTTCTGTGCTTTCTGATTTACCTAGAATACAGTTAAACCTAAAATTTATTTTACCCTACTTCTTAATAGAACATAAATAAATTAGGGCAAAAGACATGTTTAAAATCACAATTATATAAGCTGTAAAAACTTAAAGAGCTCTCTCCCTCCCAAGAATCTTTTAAGGTCTTTGAAACTGAAAACACTTTTTGAATTTCTATCCATGACTCTGAGGTAATCATGGGTTTATTTTAAGGGGAAAAAAAAATTAAAATGTAGTTTCTTTTGAAAAACTGGGTTTTTTTACTAAATAAAATACAAAATGTTTGGCCAAGTGCTGCTGCCATTGAAGATGATGGCCATACTCTTCCAAGGTGATGGGAGAATGGAGTCTGTCTCTCTGGAAAACCTGAAACTTGACATTATATGTTGCTTAACATTAAGTCTAGGAGATATTTGTGAGCCCGGCTGCATACAGGAATACAGGACTGGCTTTAAGCTAAAAGATTCTTCTCAGTGTTTGGTTCCTAAAATCAAAAAGACATAATAGGCAACCAAGTGTAGGCACTTAGAAAACATAGTTCTGTTCGTGTTTCATGGAGGAGGGTCACTTTATGGCTTCCAAATGTGGTCTTCTATCAATATATGATGTTTTCAACAGCAAATAAAGGTATAGTTCTTTAACCAGACCTAAGCTTAATTCATCTCTGCAGTTGATTCCAATGATACTCTGTATGGTGGAGACTCCAAGTTCTTGGCTGAAATTAATAAACTGAGTGAAACAGTGGTATCACAGATCCTGGATCATCTGAAAACCCTGGGAAAGGAGGAGGTATGTTCTTACCTTGATTCAATACAAAACCAAAAGTAATTTGGAGTTGAAGAAACAGACCACCTTTGACCAGGACTTGGTCTTTTCAAAAGGTTCAGGGACTTCAAAACAAAAGGAAATTGGGTGTTTTTACTTGTTTAGAAATTGAGACCGTCACATAGGCAGGCTTGTGGAGGAGACACCAAATGATGTCCAATTGTGTAATGAGCAAAGTGAGAATTCAGTTAGTCTATTACTGGGAAAATACAATGAAGGTCACCTGTAATTATAAAAGTTTCAGATCCCAGGCACTAAGATGATGTCAGGAGAGAGGTACAGAGGGAAGAAACAGTTGTTTTGTCTTTACTCTGACTTTAGTATATTTGTTCAATATAAAATAAAGAAAACTCTAGGCAGCTTATTGGATTTCTTGATTGGATTTCAGAGGCTCTGAGGGATCAAATCTAGCTTAATGGATTGTATGTGAAAGGCAGGTGACTGATGTTTACTGCAATAATGAGAACCCACTGTTCTGTTAATGTACCTGTTTCTGAGAACAGAGCCTTCCACAGCTTCCCCATCAGCCCTTTCTGGATGGCTTCTATTGATAGAAAGCTTGTGGCTCGTGGCCTGGAAGGGAGGGCAAGGCGTGATTGATTTGATGGAATTTTTTAGATAGGCTGTTTGCACAGTAGCCCAGAGTGTTTGCCAATACAGAATGTGTTAAGTGATACATATTGGGAGGACACTGTGCTAAGTTTAGCCTTTTCCTTGCTTTTGCTATCCTGTTTGTCCTTCCTTGAGCAATGGTGGAAATCTAAGATGAAAATATCCTTTGCTCAAAACCTCTACATCATTGTACACATCACCACAGGGAACTGTAGTTCTTTTTCAGAACAGTAGCAGCAGAAACAACCATTCTAGCACAGCTAAGAATGTCCAAGAATTTCCACAAGGAAATTTAAACAAAGATTTCAGGACTGTGGGTTGTATATTAGGGAGTTTTTTGCATCTGACTCCTGTATGGAATTTGTGAGTAAGAATGTTTGTAGGACTTGAAATTCATGGTTTCTGATAGGCCTTTTTTTGTTGTTTTCCCCTTTCAAGCACGCTTTGAGTAAGGAGATCCTGTGTTAATTCACTGAGGCTGTTGTGGCATTGAAAACTGGATTTAAGGCTAAGCAGCAGATATAGGTGCTTGGCCTGCCTTTGCCTCTGCAGCCTTGGATTTGCTTCTCTGTCCATCCTTATTTACAAAGAGGGACCATTTGTTTTGCTTTGTTGAGTGAAAGTCATTGAGAGATTTAGATAAAAATTGCTTTGTAAGAATGAATAGTTGTTTGAGGAAGCTGTTGTTGCTGAGGAAATAGAAGTGATGAGAATATTATCAGAGATCTCCAATTGTGCTGAAGTAAAGCTGGTCATAAAATCACTGTGGTATTTGGATTGCTTCAGTGTTGGTGACCTTTTATTATTCATCTTCTTGGCTGCTCATTTAAATGAACAAGGCTCTAATGATTTTGTGTTTTTATTGGTTCATTTCCTTTAAAAGCTTTAAAGGAAAATAAATTTTTCTCACAATAAAATCCTTTCACAAAAATGGCAATTTGGAAGAGAACAATGTGTCTTACTGTTAACACAGTGTGGTCTTTTCACAGTATTAGAGAATGCTTCATTTATGTGACAGTTCTGGAATGGAAATTTTTAGTTCTGGACAGTTCTAAAAGTTCAAGCTGTTTCTGGTTGACAGAACATGTAGCAGTGAAGCCTCTGCTTTGTGTGGGGAGGAAGACTGCTTTTATGCTCCTTAAGGCCTATTGTCAGCAATTTTAGGGGAAGGAGCTACAAATACATTTGTATCACCAGAGTTTCAGTGAAGGAATAGCAGGGAAAAAACATCTTTGGTTAAATAAATAAATAAAAGTAGAATAGATGGGGGGGGGAAAGCCTGAAGTTGCATTAATTTAGATTGATGATAGTGGTCTCTCTAAAAATTTACAGCTAGGGTGCTCTAAGTGCAAGATTGGTTGGTGGGAGAGTGATTTCTATGCAGTTGTAGGGAGTCTGGAGTTGTAAATGTGCCAGACCTACATACTATGCTGTGCCAAAGTGCTGTGAGACGTAGGAGTCTTGTGTATGTATTTTATTTTACAGCAGCTTCTGTTGATTTACAGCTACTGCTGTTTGTTGCATTTTGAGTGGAATATGAAAACTCTAAGTGTATTCTTGTGTCTGTAACTATTGCTGTGTGTTACAAAATGAGTGCCCTTTGAACTTCTGAGAGTTCAGAGAGGCTGGTGAGGTTAAGCTGGGTATTTTGGGGTGAGTGTACAGTAATATGGGAATATTTTTGTTTTCATTATAGACCCTGAAGCGGCAGAGCCAGCTGGCACTCTATTTCTTTAACACCATTCTGGCTCATGGGGACCTACGAAACAACAGACTGAACCAGCTTTCAGTCAATCTCTGGAATCTTGCTCAGAAGCATGGCTTTGCTGACACCAAGACTATGGTAAGGGAGGGATGCAGATAGTGCAGGGAGGTTTTAGCTCGTAGTATCTTTTTCCACTCTATTTGGGAAAAGGTAACATTTTCTTGATCTGAATAAACCTTATCTCTTTACAAGCTGCTATCTTAAAAAAAACCCAAATTATCTTAAAACCCCAACAACTTACTTTTCTAAATGCTTCTTAATGAACAAGCAGCTTCTCATATTTCAAGTGGTCTGTATCTTTCTAGCATTTTAATAGTATGACATGCATTAAGGAACCTGAAAGTGTTGGCTGTTCTTTTTTGTTCAGTACAGAAAACTAGCTTTAAGAGAAATAGTATATTTTTATTTTGTGGAGCAACTGCCTGGTGAAAGCTTGTAAGTGGCATTTGAGAGCCTTTAATAAACATATACATGGTAAGAAACTCTGGAATAAGCAATGCCAAGTGCTCACAAAGCCAGTGAAATTTAGGGAAAATCCTGAGATTGGGTAAAACACCTTCACAACGATGAACTGATGGCTATGAAATGAGAAAAAACATTGAGAATCTCCAAATACCTTTCCTTTCAAACCAAGGTGAAAACCCTGGAGTACATCAAGAGGCGGAGCAAACAACCTGAAATGAGTCATTTCACAGACTTGGCCCTTCGGCTTCCTCTGCAGTCCAGGACCTGACAAGTGCCTCTTCCAAGGAGTCACCTGCACAAGGGAGCATGGAACCCAGGCCAAAAATCACTGATCTACATTCTGACTGCAGTTCAGTGTATTTTTACTTTCCTTAATGAGACACATTTACTTGGGCACAGCAAAGGTAAAACCGTTCTGAGTGCAATAATTTAAGCTGAGTTTCTGTATCCAGTTTTACCATAGCATTGTTATTTAAAATGCTGATTTACATTCACTAAACAGTATTTTGAACCTCTGTGGTTGCAAAAGCATTTTGAGATCTAATATGTTATAATTTTAACAAAAAAGGAAGATAATCTATACTAATGAGTTCACAGCCTCAAAACTTCATCCCTCTTGGAGAATAGTCTTTCTCCTCTGCAGAAAACAGCATTTCAAGATAATAGTCATACTAAGTTGTGTCTCTGCATTGGGATGCTGCCAGCATTTGTCTGGCTTGTTCCAGTAACAGAGAAAAATGGCTGAAGTGTTACTGTTCTAATTTCTACAATACATTTTCACAGACATGTTTATGTTTTCATTTTAGTCCAGTGGTGTTTTGTAAAATGGAAGGAATCTTTAAGTGCTGCAAAGGAAAATGGAAATTATGCAAAGTCCTCTGTATTTGCAAAGTACACTATCACTGAATAAAAGAATTTGCAGCTCATTTGTGTGTTCTGGGGGAGTTTCTCTGTGTATACAAATCCATCACCTTACCCTTGTGGAACTTAGTTACATGCATTGTTATTATTCCTAATAAAATTTCACTCAAACCACTTCTACCCCATGGTAAGGAACCATGTTGAGACCCAATATCTATTGCTACTTTTGCTTAGTGGCTTTTTGGCTATTTCTTTCTGGCCAGGCAAGTAGCTCAGGGCTTGAATTCAGAATTTGTTTCAAACCAGAAAACAGAACCTCAAGTACCTGAATTTTTGTAAAACAAGAGCCAAAAGCTAGAAAGGCTGATGGAAGCTGGTGCTGAACACTGAGAGCACTGATGCCAAACAGCCTCACATTGTGGTAGGGGTGGTTTTAAATGGCACTTTAAAGGAGATGGTTTTCTCAAAGACAAGTTTAGGCCCTGCAGGAACAGCTCCCTCTTCCCAGATATGGGAAGGGATTCGTGGCAACCCCTTAAGATGGAATCAGCATAATTTTCACTTCCTCTCAAGAGTTGCCCAAAATGCATCAGAACCCAGTGCTGTTTTGTTAAGTGTGTTTTCTGCTGGAGGCAGATGCTTTCAGGTAGAGCAGTCCATTGCAGAAGACTATTGTGGAAAGTGAGGCTGTCTTAAAGAAATGTAGTTCTGTTGTCACTTTCTGAGTGAAAAGTCTGCCTTCATCAAATTTGAGGGCACACCACTAGTGTGTCTTCAAAGTAAAGCACCATCATTTTGTACCACTGAGTGTAAAAAACATGAAGATTTTACAGAACAATAAAATCCTTTTGAATAACTTAAGATATAAGGAAAGTTTATTAAATCAACATTTAAAAAAAAAATTACTGGATTTCAATTAATTGCAGGCATGGCACGCATCTTCAGTCTTTGCAAGAGGCTGTCTCTTGCCTCGCAGAACAATGGCAATAAAGGTTTGAAAAACTGTTTGGATGAAGTGAGGACCCAGCTCCATTGGTATATGCAGTTGAAAATTTGTATTTCAAGTACCTCATAAACATTCTTCAGCATTTTGTTATCTTATTTCAAATAAAGATGTGGAAGGTAAAAGGAAATATCACTCTTTTTATTCTGAGTTTTAATCTTCAAATTTTATAGATCTAGATGCATATTTGTCTATATATACTTTTTTGTTGGCAGTAGGCTGAAATCCAAGACCAATTCCTCTATGTTGCTTCAAGTCCATTGCTTTATCAAATTCCATCTTCAGAGCCTGCTGTAACTTCTCCTCCCCTTCCTTGTTCAGAGCCATGTTTGGTTTGTTTGGAATTGCTGAGGGATTTTGAGTAGGCACAGAGCCCTTTTTAAAGCCACCCATCAGTCTAAAAAACTTCGTTTGTTCCTCAGAACTCTTAAAAGTAGCTGTACTCCACTGTCCAAGCTTCGTATTCTGTGAGGCAAAACAAAGTTAACACTAAAATTAAGAAATACCAAGACAAAGGAAGACAATTTCTGTCTGTGTACCATGAGAACAGAACCAGCTACAAAAGCCTGACAGGGTGACAGAGCTGGGAAGCTGTTATTCCATGGGCAGTACCTCTTGAGGGATGTGGTAAAAGACTGACCTAACTCTGCCTGACAGCCCCTTCATGAGCATTTCAGGCCATTTGACCTGGAGACAGGGGTCAATGTGCTTTGAGAATCTCCTTTCCTTCTGGCTTTGGGAATCTTGGCTTTCTGCTCTCTCTTCACACAGCTCCAAGAGCCACATAGCATCTCTTATTCCAAGAAAACTGTCAGACTTTAGGGTTACCTTTTCATTTTCCCACTGCCTAGTTAGGGAGCTGCTGTTTTCAGCAGTGTTTTGTTAGTTGCAGACACTGTTCAATTTGGCTTTAAGTAAAATTTGCATTCTCATCCCACTAATTACAACTAATATTGCAAGGGTGCAAAACCAGAGGACTTACCCAACAGGACTAAGTCTAGTTCTCCTAAACCTCCCTTCCCTTGCAGTTTGCTGTGCTCTTTGCATTTACAGTATTTGTATTTAACTGTACTCTTTGAACTAGTTTGCCCCTTCAGGATTCTTCTTCTGTCTGCAAATTCTGGCTCATTCCTGAGAATGTCAAACTAAAATGAGATTTCAGCTGTTGTGGAAAACCATAGGATTTACAAAGTTCTTGAACTTCTGTGTCACCTAAGAACAGGCTTCATTATTAAAGGTTGTATTTGACTTCTGAGCTTTAGCTATGCTAAAGCAGTCATTTATGTCATTTTAGCTATGCTATGCAGTCATTTATAAATATTTTTGGCAGGATTTCTACTCAGAACTTTTTCTTTAAAACTGTACATGATACTAGATGGCAGAATGTCTAATTTTTAATTAAATAGACTAAGCTGGCTACATCAAAGGAAAAGAAAGGTGAATTCAGTGGTATGTTTGTATCAGCCTGAAATCCTTCCAACAGAACAGTTGCAGCTTGCATGAAACAGTCATTCTCCAGTAGACAGCCAACATGACACACAGCATGCTACACAATTTCAGGAAAGCTACAGCAGGGGATTTTAAGGTAAAAAAAATGCAAGGCTGGAGTATCATTCACTCTCACAGGCCAGAATACCTGGTATTGAAAGAAAGCCACCCATAATACTTCAGCCTTTTGACCTTGCACAAAGGCAAGTTGCTGTACAAGCCCAGTCTGTGACACAGATATATGCACATATCCAGATACACACACGACAGATAAAATAAAGTCCTCCTTTTGCAATGGGACAGCTGCACAGATGCAAATATAATTATGGCTTGTCAAAACTCTGTTTTTAAGTGAGCTGCTGGCAGGCACTACACACAGCTTTTGCTGAAGCATTTCCAGCTCACCCTTTGTGGAGCTGATGAATTAGTTTTCACAGCTTCTATTCTTCTGCATACTACTAAACAGAGACAGATCAGTGCCAAAGAACTGAGATCTCCTGCCAAGGATGTCATTTTTCTCAATGACTTCAGAGACTATTAGACAGTTTCAGTTCCAGAGATACACAGACTCCCTCCCACTATGTTACATCTACACAAGTTGTTTCTGGCATTTGTTTGAGGCATATTCCAGCTTTCTAGGCATTCTGGCAGTCCTGCAAAACAACAGAAGCCTGAATTACTAGCAAAGCTTTCTACCTCAATCTTCTTACCCCTGGCTAAGCACTACTGCAAGTTTCCACTACCTTACTGTGAATCTGTCAGGAGCCAGGCTGAGAAGGATGCAAAAGCAAAGAATCAGGAATTATCGTCCCAAGAGGTGGATGAAAGATGCAGAAGCTATGACAGGACTGTCTTGCCTTTCCAAGTGTGTCCCTGTTGCTGAATGTGTGCAAAGTCTTGTAGGCCAGAAATCAGATACACTTCACTGACTGCTGCATCCATAGCCCAAAAATTAGTTGAATTTCACAGTGAGCAGAAAATGCTTCTGTAGCAATTTTTGATGGTTCATTTTCCAGAGAAAATATTGCTTTTGAGGATTGGTGATGGGAATTAGAGCACTGTACAATGCCAAGGAGTTCACTGCTCAGCTCTCAGACGCTGGCATTGTACCAACTTGTTCTACAGCGTGACCTGAAATCTGCAGTCAGGAGTGCTGCTGTACCTGAGCCACATACAAAAAAAGAGCACAGTGTTTTGTACAGGAACTTGCCCTGGGACACAGTATTTCCATCAGGTTGAGGTCTAAACTCATACATTACCTGTCCCACTTTGGAACTGAAATCCTTGATTTTGCCAGATTCTCTGTCAATTTCTTCTTGCAGGGCCTGCCGCCTCACCTAGTATGCAGAAAAATGACAATTACTTGACAATGAAATAATAAGAGAAAAATAAAATAATTAGTTATCTTCAGAATTTTGCAAGGATAATTAAAAGTTGCTTGGGATGCTTTCATACACTCAACATGAGAACAGTAATTTTTTAGTGTATGTTAAATGAGTGTTTTGCTGTATCAGGTAAGTCCAATTTTCTAACTGCAAGCAACAGCTATGCTGAAACTGCCAACATTGATGAGAGGCAAAGAAATCTGTATTTAACTTAAAGAGTTTCTTAGTTCACACATTGACTGGAGCTGTACATTTTAACTTAACCCACACATAAAGCACATCTTAAGCAGAGCTTTATTTACGGAAATCTAGGCCCAGATAAGCAACAAAGCATTTTTGTATCAATTCCTATGCATTAAATGCTGACCTGCTTTAGATCTTACCCAGAGTTAGGACAATGCATACCTTGTCTATGCTAACTTCATCACAGTTTCCTTTCTTTTCCCGCACAATGATTACACCATCTAGATGATCCTGTAAAACAGGAAAAAGCTTGTATGATTATTTTTATCCATTCTGGTTAATTAGAATTTACACAGCTCTTACCACTACTACAAAAGTAGTTAAAACACTGAGCAATCAGTAGTACTATTCTGGGTCAAGAATAGTCAGATCTAAGATGAAAATGCCAATTAAATCTGTGTATTTCTATGGAAAATACTCAGAGATTTTTTTTTCTTTTAATCAAGATAAATGCTTTTTAGATTTACACATTAAAAGGGACCTGCCAACAACACTGGCACACACAGTAATGTTTGCAAGGAGAGTAATTTCAAAGTAAACCATTTTGTAAAAGCTTAAATTTACACTTGAAGAAAGGCACAGAGAGAGTGAAACTTAAAAAAAAATTAGAAATTGGAGGTAAAAGAAATAAAGGTCTCTCTGAAACAAATAAACAAAAACAAAATCAAGAGGCAGCTGCACTGTGCTCCCTGTGGATGACGGTCCCCAGGGAGCTCCCAGGCTGGAAGGAGCGCAGGGAGAGGCAGGACACATACATGAACTGTCTCCTGCAATGGCAGCAAACAGCACATTAATCCACATTTGAGAGCAAGGAACAGGGAGCTGATGGAAGAGACAGAGCAGCTCCAGAAGGAATGGATGGGCTGGATGGCAGGAGGTAAATCTGGGCAGAGTCCCCACCCAAGCAGATCCTGATCACACTTCCACAAAGCGCAGCCCTCCTGCA